GCGAGAATATCATAGGCAATATTTCATTTTCAGAAACATACGCACTTTTGCCATTATTCGCAATGAAGCATAAGCCCCATATTAACTTGCCATTTCAAGCACTTCCCCGTCCTCATACTGCCGATCTCTGATTATAATTTTCTATTCCGTGTGTTGTAAGCCTCCTTGAATGTATTCTGCTTAGTTAGATTCACTACCAGGCATGCCAGCTTCATTACTGGCAGATGGTGTCTCCGTGTGATTTCATTTTTGTAAACTATAAGTATGGGCAAAGCCTCATTCCTAGCATACCACAAGACAATAGTCCTTCTTTTGTCCAGCCAAATCCCCCCTCCTTTCTTTCTCTCTCTCTCTCTCTCTCTCTCTCTCTCTCTCTCTCTCTCTCTCTCTCTCTCTCTCTCTCCAGCCCTCCCTCCCCTATTATGGAGTTAGCTTTAAAGCAGTAAAGGAGACTTTTCACGCCAAGGAGAACATTCGTCCAATGGGGTTAGCCCTACATTTGTATAGACCAATCGACAGTTAGCTAGCCAAGTCTGCGGATCTGAAACCTTGCATACCCAGCAAGAGAGCTGATTGCTAGCCAATGACTTAAATTCACCTGCTGTTCGGATCTATTGGGTTCCAGTTACAGAGGCTGGGCTAAGTCGTCAGTCTTCAAGTTCTAGTCGTCCCAAGTTGCTGCCAGCAAGTCCCTAAGTCACTGCCACCAAGTCCCAAGTCTCTGCACCAAGTCCCAAGTCTCTGCCACCAAGTCCCAAGTCACTGCCACCAAGTCCCAAGTTGCTGCCACCAAGTCCCAAGTCATTGCCACCAAGTCCCAAGTCTCTGCCACCAAGTCCCAAGTCACTGCCACCAAGTCCCAAGTTGCTGCCACCAAGTCCCAAGTCGCTGCCACCAAGTCCCAAGTTGCTGCCACCAAGTCCCAAGTTGCTGCCACCAAGTCCCAAGTCATTGCCACCAAGTCCCAAGTCTCTGCCACCAAGTCCCAAGTTGCTGCCACCAAGTCCCAAGTCACTGTCACCAAGTTCCAAGTTGCTGCCACCAAGTCCCAAGTCACTGCCACCAAGTCCCAAGTCATTGCCACCAAGTCCCAAGTCACTGCCACCAAGTCCCAAGTCACTGCCACCAAGTCCCAAGTCAGTGCCACCAAGTCCCAAGTTGCTGCCACCAAGTCCCAAGTCATTGTCACCAAGTCCCAAGCCATTGCCACCAAGTCCCAGTTTACTGCCACCAAGTCCAAGGCCATCGCCACCAAGTCCCAAGACATGCCACAAGTCCCAAAGTCATGCCACCAAGTCCCAAAGTCACGCCACAAAGTCCCAAAGTCATGCCACTAAGTCCCAAATCATTGCCACCAAGTCCCAAATCATTGCCACCAAATCCCAAAGTCATGCCACTAAGTCCCAAAGTCATGCCACAAAGTCCCAAAGTCATGCCACTAAGTCCCAAATCATTGCCACCAAGTCCCAAGTCACTGCCAGCAAGTCCCAGGTATACTTCCAAGTCGAGTTCTCAGTCAAATCACTTCATGTATCAAGTCATTTTCAAGCGGAGCTTGGACAAATGCTTTTGGATTAAACTGGTCTGTTATATTACCAAGACAACAATCAACATTTATTTTGACCCTTGGTGGGAAGATAATATCCCTAGGGAGGTTTGGGCACATGATGATACACCTAGGGATGTTGGGGCGCATGATGATATCCCTAGGCACGTTGGGGCGCATATCCCTAGGGAGGTGGGGATGCATGATGATATCCCTAGGGACATTGGGGCGCATGATGATATTTATCTAGGGATGTGGGGACGCATGATGATATCCCTAGGGACGTTGGGGCGCATGATGATATCTCTAGAGATGTTGGGGCGCATGATGATATCTCTAGGGAGGTGGGGACGCATGATGATATCCATAGGGGGTTTGGGCATGTGATGATACACCTAGGGAGGTTGGGGCACGTGATGATTCACATAGGGAGGTTGGGGCGCATGATGATACTCCCTAGGGAGGTTGGGGCGCATGATGATACCCCTAGAGATGTTGGGGCGCATGACTGATATCCCTAGGGACGTTGGGGTGCATGATGATATCCCTAGGGAAGTTAGGGCGCATGATGATACCCCTAGGGACAGTAGGACGCATGATGATATCCCTAGGGACGTTGAGGCGCATGATGATATCCATAGGGACGTTAGGGCACATGATGATATCCCTAGGGATGTTTGGGCGCATGAAGATATCCCTAGAGAGGTGGGGACGCATGATGATATCCATAGGGATGTTTGGGCGCATGAAGATATCCCTAGGGAAGTTGGGGCGCATGATGACATCCCTAGGGACGTTGGGGCGCATGATGATATCCCTAGGGAGGTGGGGACGCATAATGATATCCCTAGAAACACTGGGGCGCATGAAGATATCCCTAGGGAGGTTGGGACACATGATGATATCCCTAGGGACGTTGGGGCGCATGATGATACCTCTAGGGAGGTTGGGGCATGTGATGATACCCCTAGGGAGGTTGGGGCACATGATGATACCTCTTTTAGTTTCCAGCGTCAGGATCTCCACAGGTGACTTCTACCTGATGTTTGGGCGCATGACTGATACCCCTAGGGACGTTGGGGTGCATGATGATATCCCTAGGGAAGTTAGGGCGCATGATGATACCGCTAGGGACAGTAGGACGCATGATGATATCCCTAGGGACGTTGGGGCACATGATGATATCCCTAGAGAGGTGGGGGACGCATGATGATATCCATAGGGATGTTGGGGCGCATGATGATATCCCTAGGGATGTTTGGGTGCATGATGATATCCCTAGGGAGGTGGGAACACATAATGATATCCCTAGAAACACTGGGGCGCATGAAGATATCCCTAGGGAGGTTGGGACACATGATGATATCCCTAGGGACGTTGGGGCGCATGATGATACCTCTAGGGAGGTTGGGGCATGTGATGATACCCCTAGGGAGGTTGGGGCATGTGATGATACCCCTAGGGAGGTTGGGGCACGTGATGATACCTCTTTTAGTTTCCAGCGTCAGGATCTCCACAGGTGACTTCTACCTGAGGAGGGCCTTCCAGAAACAGTATCTCTGTAAATACATGTCCACATCACTGCTAAGAATACGAGAACTGGGAGTAAAGATCGGCACAGCCAAGCATGAGAAGCACACTGGACGCATACAAAGTCTTGTCAATCAGCACAGAACTGGCACTATTAACCGCGCGATGCTGATAAATATGTTGAGAGGGGAATCGAAACACCTATGGATATGTCGGAAGTGCTGTAAAAATAATCCAACTCATAACTCTGTAAATATACATACAGCATCTTTTTCTTTCCCTGTGATTGCCTGAATGAGTGGATCTGCTCCGAATACCCAGCCCAGGAACAGAACAGTATGATCAGAGTAGATATCTCACCACATTTATGTGTGACAGAAAAAATGTTCACTGAATGCATGAGAAGTGAATCACTGCAAGCCGAGAAAATGCCATGAAGCATTCGGTGCCTGAAGTTGTGACGGGAACTAATAACATTAGTAATGAGAAGAAAAGTATACATAAAATCTTTTATTCAGAGAACAGACCACTTTAGTCTGAAAACTAAATGAACACGACATACAATATGACCAAGACGATTAACAAAAAGAAAGGAAAAACATACACTCACAAGTGAATGCCTTCACTAGTCTTTATCAAAGAATTGAAAAAAAAAAAAGAATCCTAAACATCTCCGTTCCTTTCACCATAGAAATTATCTGTTTAAAGAATCCTGAACATCTCCGTTCCTTTCACCATAGAAATTATCTGTTTAAAGAAACCTAAACATCTCCGTTTCTTTCACCATAGGAATTATCTGTTTGAAGAATCCTAAACCATCTCCGTTTCTTTCACCATAGAAATTATCTGTTTAAAGAATCCTAAACATCTCCGTTTCTTTCACCATAGGAATTATCTGTTTGAAGAATCCTAAACATCTCCGTTTCTTTCACCATAGGAATGATCTGTTTGAAGAATCCTAAACATCTCCGTTTCTTTCATCATGGGAATTATCTGTTTGAAGAATCATAAACCATCTCCATTTCTTTCACCATGGGAATTATCTGTTTCAAGAATCCTAAACATCTCCGTTTCTTTCACTATAGGAATGATCTGTTTGAAGAATTCTAAACCATCTCCGTTTCTTTCACCATGGGAATTATCTGTTTGAAGAATCCTAAACCATCTCCATTTCTTTCACCATGGGAATTATCTGTTTGAAGAATCCTAAAACATCTCTTTTTCTTTCACCATGGGAATTCTCTGTTTGAAGAATCCTTAACATCTCCATTTCTTTCACCATGGGAATTATCTGTTTGAAGAATCCTAAACTCTATCCATTTCTTTAACCATGGAAATTATCTGTTTGAAGAATCCTTAACTATCTCCGTTTCTTTCACCATGGGAATTATCTGTTTAAAGAATCCTAAACATTTCCTTTTCTTTCACCATGGGAATTATCTGTTTGAACAATCCTAAACATCTCCATTTCTTTCACCATGGGAATTATCTGTTTGAACAATCCTAAACCATCTCCGTTTCTTTCACCATGGGAATTATCTGTTTGAGTGTGTGTGGTTTTTTTATGTAAGGTGGATTCTTGCCGTCTGGTTTACTGGTTGTGTACACATGTGTATGTGTGCATGTATGTGTGTTTGTTTTTTTTAAGATTTTTTCATGGGTTTTTAATTTAAAATTAAAAATGTTGCACTTTCTGGTACCTTTTCCACGCACGCACGCATGCACACACAAATGGTACTATTCCCCAAAACATTTTAGCAGCCCTGGTAGGATCTAGAGACAGGTTAGAGCAGCGGTTCTCAAACTGGATGTCATAGTGAAATAAATGTTTGAGAACCCCTGGGTTAAAGTGCCAATGCAGAACGAGTAAACATTTGCCAACATTCATGGCAAACTGCAGATGTCTTATTAAAATGTTTCTTACCTTTTGAGAAGCTGCCAGAACTTTGTCCAAAAATCGCAGCCATTCAAATACAAACATCGGCCGCTTAGCCTCAGATATGCGTTTCAACGCTTCCTCATTCAGAAGTAAACTATGTGCTAGCTCCATTATTATGCTGATGAAAAAAATAAACAAAATATTGATATAATGAATTCCATATGTGTTTGAATTTACAAACCATGTGAGTGTGTGCAAAGTATTTAGGTGCGCAACTGTATAATACACAAAACAAAATATCGCAAAAACCTAGTTAACAGGAATGCCAATAAATATGCTAACAATTTTTTTTTATTTCCCAGGCCTATTAACTCCACAAGATGTAGACAGCATTCAACTTTCTGCAGCTGAATAAACTATTACAGAAAATGGCTTAACCAAATTAATCAAAAATCACATACAACTGCACTGATTATTTACATGCTGTCAATAAAAACATGTAAAACAAATTGATTCTCTGACACTGTTTAATAATGCTGAAGTTAATCTGGCCACACACAAAAAAAGATGACAAATATTTGTATTCTGCAAGATGTGAACACTGAAGAAATAAATAGATCATGTGGGGGAAACTGAATTACTTTGTTAAAGGTCAAGACATTCATGAATGAATGAATCCAGAACTGACATCACTGCCAGGAAGCATACCCACATGCGCTCTGCCCTCTCCTCAGTAGTCAACAAAGAGTTGCTGCAGTGATTGTGCCAGCTGCAATCCGTCTTTTCCCTTGCATAATGAAAACCATTTAAGTCCATTATCATTTGCTTACTCCCCCACTGAATCAGTCTTTCAAGGCAAGACACTCTGTACCATTGCAATAACATCCTTCTATCAGCTGGCTATTACCCCACAAAGAAGGTTTAACTTTTGTTTAAACCACACCTGGAAAATGTTCTAGGGGTCAACTGACATGATGGTTAAGGACTCCCTGGGAATAAAATGCTTGAAATAGAGGAACTGGTGAACGATCAAGAGCTGTTCTGGCAGGCTGTGATGAGGACGACAATCTGAGACTGTCTTGCTACAACATGGTGCTAACAATGAGTTAAAAGTTGAATACTATGGTAACCATCTCTATCATAGGTTAAGGGAATAAGCATGGATAGTCCTGGTTCCCTATCTCAAATGCAAAGTTTTAGATCAAGTCTGTGTTTCTGTCCTCAATATGCTATGTAATCAGATCATCAGGTTCTTATCTCCTTGTCATTCCCTTGCTATTTTCCCCAGTAGGATTACCAGCTGCCAAAACATTTTCAAGTTTAATTCTCCACACAACATCCCCCAAAATCTCAATTTGCTACACCTAACATGTAGAAAGAACAGTCGTTCATCCATCACAAATGATCATGATCAGTCCTATCAGTTAGGTGGAGGAGGTTTATGAGAGTGCAGATGGCCAGTTAGGCCAATCCTGACACAAGAAGCTCCTGAGCAGTGTAGGCATGAGATTTGGGCCAAATCAGTTTGTGGATCACAATCTTTTCTTTGCTATTCTTTCAATTGCTGCTGCTGTTCCGGTTGCTTCACGTGAGCCACTCTCAGATAAAGATATCAGCTCCAAGATCAACAATTGTGTGCAGCGACCTACAAATTTCAGGATCAAGGCCAAATGTTTTCAAAAAGATCTTGAGATTGTCCTTGAAACATGGCTTGTGTCCACCTTGGCAGCATTTTGCTTTATATAGTTTACATTAGAAGATTCCTGTAGGCAGTTGTTGGTCTGGCATGCAGACATCCCGACTGTCCAGCAGAACCGAGATTGTTAAAGATTTGTATAAATGCTTGACTGGCCAGCAAAAATAGTCAAACCAGCCATGAGTACACAAACCAACAACAATGATTCATTAACTGAATTCATGTTGGTCAATGTTATGCAATTATTCTGCAGAAAAAATGGAAGAGACTAGGAATGGAAGAATGTTCATCAACAGATTAATCCAGGAGATGACAGTGTAACAGTTACCTCTGCTTATAAATAAACTACAAAAATGTTTATGGAGAAAATGAAGAATACAAGTTACAAACTAAAGGAGTTGATGGCAACTTAATTACTCAGAACACCAGATGGGAATTAATGTGCAAGCTCACAGACTATGAGTTAAATCACATACACTTCAACCTAAGAGAGAATCAAAACCAGATTTAGTTACTTTGGCAGAAGGCCAACAAAAGGTTTACAAAGGGGATCTAACTTGCCCTATTTGTGTTTGAAACTAAATAGGACATTCACATAGTCCTGGGATGGCGAGAAAAAAGGGTATATATATATATATATATATATATATATATATATATATATATATATATATATATATATATATATATATATATATATATATATATATATATATATATATATATATATATATATATATACTCCCAGATAACAGAAAATTGGAACACAGCAAAGAATACAAGTATGTACACATTGCTGCAGAATGTTTATTGTTAATTATAAACTGAGCATCAATAAAACTGACACCATAACAGCACTCTGGGATTTTGCATGTGTGCTCCATTCTCATCTTCAGCAGCCAGCACAGAATTTCAATACTGATGGTACCGGTCACAATCTGGTTATATGTCCATCTTGCCTTTCCCCTGAGTGTAGTGAGCCGGCAGACCCTCTGGTTACACACAGGTGTTTCATTCTCTCCAGGCCATAATAATCCTGTTTCTCTACTGATTCTGCTGCTTGTTCCCAAAGGGGCTTGACCACATCTGCCTTGTCATGTAGGAATTTATCACCCAGTGGTGCAGATAAAGCCAATTTGTCTGCCTGTTCATTACTCACCATGCCAGCATGGCTTGGAGAAAAGATGCAAAGTATGCTCCCTACCTGTGACCTTCCCAGTGAAGCTTGCCACTCTGCTCGAAGCATTCACCTTTTTCAGCATGCTTTCAGAGTCTGTTACAATTAAGACATGTGTATGCATCTTGTTCTTTAGCTAGCGGACAGCTGCAGTTACTGCCTCCACTTTCATTCGCATGCTAGATGCTGTAGTGTCGTATGCTAGGCTGTCTTGCACTAACGATTTTCCATTGCTTTTGCTACGAACCCCCAGCCACTTCTCTTTCCTCTCAACACCGAATCATCTGTACAGATAATCAGATCACCTGGGCGTGATTTGTCGTGAATCAACGGTTGGACTTCCACCTCCGTAGCACCTGCTGGCCACTCTCTGCACACTCAGCCCAATGTGATCATAACCCTATCCAGGTTAGAGTTTTCCTCTGGTACTCTGACCCACTAATCTACTCGCCCAATGTTCTCCAGCATGCATACATGTCTTACTGTGTCTTCTGCTTGAGCCATCCATGATTTTCCCCCTTTTCAGCCTCTGACCCTTATCTGCCGCCAAAGCTTCATACAGAGGGTGTTCTTTGAGTGCAGCTACTCTGAGGTATGACTTAGCCTGCAGCACATTTAGCCTTTCTGCAACAGTCGGCAATGCAAGGATGTATCGCATGCATACAATCGAGGTGTCTCTTGTACATCCCAGGATCAGCTGTATAGCTTCATTCTCTGGCTGACTTTGAGACAGTAAGTAACCCTAATCCATAATCAATCACTGAGATGATTACCTTTTCTGGGTTGATTACAGCACTCATCTCTGTACACCAGTCAATCACCTTATCTACTGTTGCCTGTAACTCTTCTACTATTTAATTCCCATCTCTCCCATTTCTATATATGAGAAAATAATCTGCTTCTTCTTCTTCTTCTCTTCCACCTTGTACCTCATCGAAGTGTCGGGAGGAGATGTAATGTTCATTGATGGGCTCTGTCAAGAGCACTATTAAGACTGATGTTCATTTCTGTAAGGCTGTTCTTAATGCCATCACTCCATCTTTTCCGAGGTCTTCCACTCGCTCTATACCCGTTGTAACGTTTTAGCGTGGCTCGCTGTGGCAGAAAGTACCAGGGCATTCTTGTTAAGTGTCCAAACCACTTCATTTGTTGTTCTTTGATGACCTGTAAGACTGGCTTTATTCCTAGCATTCGTCTGATTTCATGATTTCGTATTCTGTCTTTCCTTGAAACTCTTGCAGCTCTTCTAAGGCATTTCATCTCTGTTGTCACAATTTTACGTTCATTGGAGGATGTAAGTGTCCACGTTTGGCATTGATAGCATAGTGTTGGCCAAAAAATAGTTCTGATAAGATTCACTTTAGTACTCCGAGGTATCTGATTGTGTGTCAACAGGGGAGATAGTTGACCCAATACTTGATTAACTTTGGCACATCTGGAGCTAATTTCTCTGTCCAGTTTTCCGTGAGATGTAAAAATTGCTCCCAAATACTTAAATTCCTCTGTTTGTCTCAGGGTGTTGTTTTTTAATTTAATTTATAAATTGTCTTTATGTCTTCCTATCATCATTGTCTCTGTCTTCGTAGTGTTTATTTTCATATTATATTCCTCCCCTTTGTTACTAATTTGATTTAGGTGGTTCTGTAGGCATTCCGTATTCTCTACTATGAGTACCTGGTCGTCGGTGAAAAGTAATTCTGTAATATCTTCTTCATGATTAAAGTTCGTTTCTCTACATATGGTATCCATGTATGTTATAAAAAGAAGCGTTGATAGTACACAGCCCTGACCCACACCAGAGTTCACTATAAAAGTTCTTGACAACCCTGCCTTCGATCTTATGCAGCATTTACTACTTGTGTACAGGCTTTTGCAAATATTAATGAGATGATTGCTGATTCCTTTTTTTCCCATACATTCCCACAACATATTCCTGTCGACTCTATCGAAGGCTTTTTCTTGGTCTATGAATGTCAACAAACATGTCTTATCATGTTCTATTGCCCTCTCTGATTGTTGTCTCAATGTAAAAATGGCATCTATGCAACTTCTGTTTCGTCGAAAGCCCATCTGTGCTTCTGAAAGTTGATACTCTATCAATGATCTCAGCCTTTTTTTGATGATCTTAGCATACATTTTCCCAGTGTGACAGAGTAATGATATTCCTCTGTAATTAGTACATTCCCTCGTACTTCCTTTATTTTTCCACAGCAGAACAATGACAGCAGTCTGCCAATCTAATGGTGTTACTTGATTTTCCCATGCCACCTGAAATATTCTCTTTAACCATATTGCTCC